CTCTGTAAATCTTCACCCAAATCCTAAAAAAAAAAAAAAAATATGTGTACTGTATGTAATTTTCCACATCCTTACACAAATATTTCACTTTTACATTTTAGTCTAAGCCATATTTTGCACTATTCAAAACAGAGTATAAAATTTTACATTCTGATTTTTTTCACTCAGTATACAAACCACCTTTTTATTTCAATCGTTATTTTCAATTGTATAATATTCATCAAGTTGCTATGTCAAATTTATGGAACTCTTCTTATACAGCTGTTCATGAGTTTATTACCATTTTTTACTTTTGTAGCTAAGGCTTTGTATGTAAAAAAGCTATTTTTACTTATGCAACAAAATGTAAGGTAAATTCCCGGGAGAATTACTAGTTGGCATGAGTGACTCTCTACACAGATCTACTGTTCTTAGTTGCCGACGAGTTGACCCTGCCTCATGGCGACCCTCGTGTGGAGCTGCTCCACAGGTCTTTCAAGGCTGTGATCTTTCAGAAGCAAATCAGCAGGCCTGTCTGCTGAGGTGCCTCTGGGTGGGTTTGCACTGCCAGCCGTCTGGCTAGCCGTCGAGCCACTCAGTGACCAACAGTCTTCGTGAAAGCTGCTGGGTGACAGGGAACGTGCAGGTTTCATCAGCTTTGCACTGATGGAAAAGAGCAGGAACTCAAGACAACTGGAGATGTGAAGACAGAAAGAAAGGAACTTACATGGTCTGGTTCCAGCTGGCAGTGTCGCGCCAAGGCATGAAGCAGTCTCTGAATGTAAGCTTTGAAGATGCCATGAATAACCTCATCGTTAGTTTTGTACAAATGCTCCCCTAGTCGGTACCAAAAGTTAAAGGAAATTTCCACTACCTGTTACATAGAAAGAGAAAAAGGTAATGTGGTTTATTTGAATGGCAAAAGGAAGAGAAGACAGTTTTATTATTGCTAAGCCCACACATGACAAACATCAAATAGCCTTTTTTCTAAAAAAAAAAAAAGATCTTGATCATCCAACCCGTCTACCCATCATCATCTATTAACCCGTAGATCAATGTTTGTTATCGCTGACAATGCAGCATTGTGTATGTAAAAGGGTCTATCTGTGTTGTCTGCACCTCTCGTGTACCTCTGTGTCTTCCTCTTTCTCAGTGCCACCGTGTTGCTCACTCACTTTTAGTACACTGCCCTTCCTTTCATCCAAATCAATAATTCTCTCTACCTATGTATCAGCGCTCCCACCCCACCCCTCCCATCCCTGATAACCAGCAGTTTTCTTCTCTATGTAAACCTTTCCTTGACTTTTTACAATAGTGAGATTAAATATAGAATTTGTCCTTCTGTCACTCAGCATATGTTGTTGTTGTTGTTAGGTGCCATCGAGGCATCTCTGACTCATGGTGACCTTATGCACAGAACGAAACACTGCTCAGTCTTGTGCCAGCCTCACAATCCTTGCTGTACTTGAGTCCATCATTGCAGCCACCGTGTCTATCCATCTCGTTGAGGGCCTTCCCCTCGTTGACCCTCTACTTTACCAAGCATGATATCCTCTAGGGAATGGTTCCTTCTGGCAACATGACCAAAGTAGGTGAGACAAAGTCTGGCCATTCTCGCTTCCAAGGAGCATTCTGGCTGCACTTCCTCCAGGACAGATTTGCTAGTCCTTTTGGCAGCCCATGGCACTCTTAGTATTCTTCTCCAACACCACAACTCAAAAGCATCAACTCTTCTTTGCTCGTCCTTATTCATTGTCTAGCTCTCACATGCATATGAGGCAATTGAACACACCATGGCTTCGGTTAGGCACACCTTAGTCTTCAAGGAGACATTTTTGCTCTTCATCACTTGAAAGAGGTCTTTTACAGCAGATTTGTCCAGTGCATTGTGTCATCTGATGTCTTGACTTCTGCTTCTACTGGTGTTGACTGTAGAACCAAGTAATAAGAAATCCTTGACAACTTCAATCTTTTCTCCATCCACCGTGAAGCTGTTTATTAGACCAGTTGTGAGGATTTTTCTTTTCTTTAAATGAGGTATAATCCATACTGCAGACTGTAGTCTTTAATCTTCATCAGGAAGTGCTTCAAGCCATCCTCACTTCTAGCAAGCAAAGTTGTGTCATCTGTGTATCACAGGTTGTTAATGAGTCTTCCTCCAATCCAGATGCCACAGTCTTCTTCATATAATCCAGCTTCTTGGATTATTTGTTCAGTATACAAGTTGAATAAGTATGATGAAAGGATACAGCCTTGACGCACTCCCTTCTTGATTTTGAACCATGCAATATCCCCTTGTTCTGTTTGAACGACAGCCTCCTGACCTACGTACAGGTTCCTCCTGAGTATAATCAAGTGTTCTGGAATTTTCATTCTTCTCAATGCTATCCACAAATTGTTATGATCCACACAATCAAATGCTTTTGTATAACTCTGTAAATCTTCACCCAAATCAAAATAAAATTAAAAAAAAAAAACGCTTTTGTATAGGCAATAAAACATAAGTAGACATCTTTCTGGTATTCTTTGCTTTCAGCTAAGATCCATCTGACATTAGCAATGATATCCCTCATTCCACATCCTCTTCTGAATCCAGCCTGTATTTCTGGAAGCTCTCTGTCAATATAGTGCTGCAACCATTTTTTAATTATCTTCAATAAGATTTTACTTGCATGTGGTATTAATGAAATTGTTCAATAATTTCCACATTATCAGTACATAGAATTTTAAACAATATGAGTGGAACTTGGTAAGAAGTCACTTTTCCTCTAGCAGTATTTGCTGTTCTTTTTCACAATTAGCTTCCTAACCTAGGCCCAAACTCCATTTAGAATGGCTGCCTTTACGTTCCCTCCTTAGCCCTGGGATAACTTCTCCAAAAGCACATCTGCTTCTGAATTTAGAAAAATATACACAAATGGAAGTCTCTTTTAAAGTATTTTTTCCCAAATTCTAAAGTCATGTTACTTACTGTATGCTTAAAATTAGAACATCTCTGACCAGGCAAACAATCTATATAATTCTCTGAGATAATGGAATCAGTCTCCTGTTACTTTGACTCACCTGTTTTCTTAAGTAGAAGAAAAAGTCAAGGGAATTCAGGTACAGTCTATCTTAGGAAAAGCCCATGAGCAGTTCTACTCTGACACATGTTGGGGTTGCCATGAGTCAGAACTGACTCCATGGCAACTGATGACAGTATAACGCCCTGCTACATTTCCTCCCACAAGTGTCTTGGGTTTCATCACAATCTACATACCCTCAATGTGATTAAGCCAAAAAAATAAACGATACCTTGTGTGATAACAGAAAGAAGGGTTGAGAAGCATAGGACTACTGTGCTTCCTATCCCACCCCCATCCTTTTCCTATCAAGGATCCAAAATAGAGCTATTTAAAACAATGACTTGATTGCGAGCATTTCTTGCTCACTTCTTATACTATGGAGAGGGGGTATAACTTCTTAAATAAATGACTTCTGAATGAAGGTGTCCTTAAGTCCTTTCAATCCTCTTCTCATTCCCATCCTCACTTGGAGCAAAAGTGTAGAGTATTAAGACCTGTGGAGCTACAGCTAGGACCAGGAGCATTCTGAAGTTATAAAGCTCTGGTGAATATGTGGAGCTAGAGGTGGGGCACAGTAGAAAGGGAACAAGCCGCTTTCAAAGAAACAGGTAATGGGCTCCTGGATGCACAGTAGTTAAGTGCGGGGCTGCTAACCAAAAGGTCGGCAATAAGAACCCATAAGCCATTCTACAGGAAAAAGACGTGGCAGTGTGCTTCCATAAGGGAACAGTTCTACTCTGTCCCATGGGGTTGCTAGGAGACGGAATCGACTCGATGGCAACAGGTTTGGTTTGGGATGTGTCTTTAACAGTCAGCCCAGCTAACCAGGTAAAAAAAAGGATTCAAAGCAGAAGTCCAAATTCAGTAAATGAAAGAACAGAGGAAAGCCCCACAGCAGGACAAATCTAACTACGACATTAATTAAGAACAAGACTGCAACTTCCCAAGAGTAAAAAAGCTAGCTATTAGGCCATGGAGAACAGATCACTGCACCACCAATCCAACAGCAATGGCTTCAGTATGCCACAGACACTACCTCATACTGAGGATGACCTGCACAGATAAGCAGCAGCTCCAGAGTTCGCAGGTCCCCGAGACCTTGGCCCGGAGTACAAACAATTTTTTCAAGAAAAGTTTCACACAGTTCAGTGAAAACACGGCAGTAATTCAGAACTCTGTAGAAGAAAGAATGAGAGCACAAGTCAGAAATCTGGGTATCTTATGTGCATATTCACAGGCAGTTAATTAAATAAATACAAAGAGGCGCCTCAGCCTAAAGGTATCTGTGATTATCTGCTATGCTGTATCATGATGCTCATGACAGTCACCTTTACTAGATCTTACATGTCTACACATGGCAGTCAGTTCATTCTCAATCACCAATATATCTGTATAAAATTTCCCATTAATCACAATTGATACTTTCAAGTTCAACTCTAATTCTTAAAGCCTTATCCATGGTATGTACAAAAAATTGTTACTTTCCATGAGTGGTAATTCTACCACCTCTCCTTCTGCATCCAGTCTGCTATTCTAGGTTCAATACCTAAAATACCAGCATCTTCAGGATGTTCAGTTTATGTATTTACTCAGAGCAACGAAGAATCACAAAGGCTGGTTGAATAATAAAATGTGGCTTAAAAAAAATGCACCACCAGATCACAGGTAAATCCAGCGCTTCAGCCCGAAACAATTACTCACTTGTCTAAATCTTCACGTGCTACAGCCATATGATAGGCAGTCTCCAATGTCAAGACTCCCTGAAAAAGTTGCATGGCTAATGGCAAGTTGGTCTCCACATTCTCAATGGCATAGAGAGCTGAGCACACACAGTCTGAAGCAGCTTCATGCAGGTTGGACGAGGTCTTATCCTGTTGCTGGGAGACAACAGTATATAGGGGAGTAGGAAGGATGATGATTAAGCTGTAACCCAAGTATCAGGAAAACAGTCATAGCCTGTCTGTGAACATGTATTTTAAAATGTATAATAGCCTTGTAGTCACGGCCTTCCACGAAACAATATCTATCAACCTTCTCAGTCCTGTTTCTGAATACCTTCCTATATGCCAAGCAAATTAGCTTATTTGTGTACTTCAATCAGTCACACAATTCCTAATCTCCATGCTTCTGTCCATACAACTCCCTCCAATGGAATACTATGTCCTCCCTACTCTACTTCAGTCTGTGGAACTCTCTTTCCTTCCTTTTTCTGATCCCAAGTACTACCTGAAATGAAAAGTCTATCAAGTACTAAGGACCTACACCTAACCACACACCATTGTGAAATTTCAGAACACCAGTCAAACAGAGGTTCCTAGGACTCGATACCCCAGCCAAACAATCAATCAAGAATGAAAGAAAAAGAAAGTAATTCTCAGGCATGCAAAAACTCAAAGCCTACTTCCCACATATCCTTTCTGAGGAAGCTATTTGAGGAGATCCAAAAACCAATTAATCCAACCAAGAAGCATAGTAGGGGAAGTCTCAGGATGGCAGCTGGGAGCAGATGTAAAGAATAAGTGAGGATGACTGGATGCATTTACTGATGAAGACAAAAGACTACAGTCTGCAGTATGGACTACACCACAACATAAAGAAAACAAAAATCCTCACAACTGGTCCAATAAGCAGCTTCACGGTGGATGGAGAAAGATTGAAGTTGTCAAGGATTTCATATTACTTGGTTCTAATCAACACCAATGGAAGCAGCAGTCAACACATCAGACAATATATTTGCACTAGGCAAATCTGCTGCCTCTTTCAAGTGATAAAGAGGCTGGCACAGGACTGGGTAGTGTTTTGTTCTGCTGTGCGTGGGGTCGCCATAAGTCGGAGACGACTCGATGGCACCTAACAACACGACATCACCAGACATGGAGACAAAGACAATGACTAGCAAAGCAGTCAGAATTCAAAAGCTTCCAAGTCAGTTTCTGGTGCAAGAGTGACGCAGGAAACACCAACAGTGAAATGCCAAACATATCTCCTGGGACCTGCTAAATAACAGTGCATCTGTACAAATCTAGTATTCCAAATCCTTCCATACTAACAAATCTTCACTGAAGGATGCCCTCCCGGAGCACGAGATTGAATCATTCACATCTGCCAAAGACCTGTTCAATATCCATGCCTGAGTTACCACTATGTCTATGTCTCTTGTTCTAACCACCAGTTCTACTTGAAGTACTCACGCCTATCCTCCAAGAGGACTGTATTACTAGGTACTACTTTCAAATTTGGGAGCTCTGGTAGCATAGTGGCTAAGACACTTGCCTGCTAACCAGACGGCTGGCGGTTCAAACCCACCAGCCACTCCTCGGAAGGAAGGTTGGGCAATCCTACTTCCGTAGTGATAACTGCCTCGGAAACCCAAGGAGGGGTCGCTATGAGTCGGGGCCGACTCGACGGCACATAACAACAACAACAACAACTTTCAAATTTAAAGAAATTTGTTAAGTTTAGAAAAGATATAACCTCTTATTCTACTAATCTCAAAAATGCAAAATCCATTCTGCACAAGCCCTGATGTTTAAACTATCTCAACTACAGAAATAATATTTGAATCTATCAATGTCTCCGGATGCACTAAGGATACATATGTGTTACTCTTTCCTTTCCTACATCTGATGTCTTGGTAATGTGCACTGAGAGAAGTCCAATCCATGACCATTATCAGAAACACATTATTTTGTGTTTTCAAAACAAGGAAAAAGAAACCAATGGTTTTTTGTTACTTAGATTGACCTGCACAGATAATGGTAAGACTGCTTTCCTCGTAAACATAACTCAATTTCATTTGGTACTTGGCAGCAAGGAAGGGCACTGCTGCTTTCTTCCTACACCTTCCAATCCCTGGACAGAAACCTGAAAGCACTGCTGTGTCCCTGAAGGTTAGTTATTAAAGCTGAGACTGCATGGCAGAAATACTTTAATAAACAAAGTCATTACTCACCAAAACCTCAAAAAGGAGTGCTAGTAACTTATTGTTAGCCATGAAGTTACTGTCCAAAACTCCCAAGTTAAACCAACTTCCCAAACAGCGAAAGACCTTCATAAGCATCTTCTCATCTGTTCCTGCTTTTTCTACACAGGTCATCTGAAAAGAGGAGAAAGAAATGAAAACACAGTTATATCTTTATATCTAAACCATTATGACAACCGCCTTTCAAGAGTAAAAATGCAAAGAACGACAATAACAGCTAATGGTTATAAGTGACAGACACTGTTCTAGCCCCACTACTGATCCATCTGATCCTCACTCAGACTCTTGTGATGTTGTTGTTATGTGCTGTGCGTCCAGTCAACTCCGTCTCATAGTGACTCATGTGACAGAGTCCCATAGGTTTTTCTAGGCTATAGTCTTCGTAGGAGCAAATTGTCATGGCTTTCTCTCACCTCAAACTCTAGAGGAAGGTCCAGTTATTACCTCCACTTTTACAATGATGAAACCGAGGCACAGAGAATAGGGATTTGATCAAAGAGACGTGCTTCAGGTAACTATATTTCCTAGTTTCCGCTTGTGTACCAATTTAGTCAAATCAAAAATTGGGTTTAAAGTACTATTTACTCATCGATATACCTGATTTTTATTGAACAGAAATGAGCCAGTCAGACTCCTCCAGATCCCACATGGAAAGCTGATCTTTCACTTTCGGCATTTGAATACTCTAGCAAATATGTCATTCTACAAAAAGGGACATTATTATAAATCTGGTAACCTTTAAAAGAGAAAATATAGAAAAGTCAGACTAAAAGTCAACAGATTGCTTCTCTTTAGAGACTGTTTCTGTGGTGGTTATTTTTTCTAAAGTAAAATGTAATGCAAATTTTTCTGGAGGAAGAATGCTTAAAAAGGACTTTTGCAGGCAAGGGGTTAGAAATATAATTGCCACAAGGTCAGAGGAATGGGGGGGTGGAGTGCTCCTCTAATGTATAATCAAAACTGACCTAATGGCTGACACTGTACTTCCAGGCAGTCAATTTCCCCCAATAGCTTTGTTTGTAGTATCAGGCAAGAAGGATTAGATACATACTTACTAATTCATTTGAACAGCAATAAAGGAAGTAAAAAATAAATTATCCAAGGAAGTTTATGGCTACTACACTCTAGAGAATGAGATTCTGCTATTCCTGTTTATGGTGCAGACACAAACTGTATAGGAAAACCCTCCTGCTGTGGATTGAACTGTGTCCCTCCAAAATTTGTGTCAACACAGCTGGACCATGATTCTCAGTATTATTTAATTATCCTCCATTTTGTGATCTGATATAATTATCCTATGTGTTATAAATCCTCACCTCTATGATATTTATAAGACAGGATTAAGGCAGTTATGTTAATGAAGCAGGATGCAATCTACAGGACTAGGTTGTACCCTGAGTTAATCTCTTTTGAGATATAAAAGAGATTAAAAAGGCCAGCAGAGGAGGGACGTACTACCATCAAGAAAGAAATGCAGGGAGTGGAGTACATCTTTTGGACCCAAGACCCCTGCACTGGGAACCACTTAGACCCAGTGGAAGATCTGTGCCAAGACAATGGAGATCTCCAAGGAACATCAGGTCCATAAGATGTGGAAAGGAGAAAAGCATCTTCTCCTCCTCGTCAGAGAGGGAAAGCCTTCCCCTAGAGCTAGCCTCCTAAACTATGGGAGAATAAATTTCTGTTTCTTAAAGCCATTCGCTTGTGGCATTTCTGTTTCAGCAGCACTAGATAAAGATAACTAAGACACCTGCTGATTCAAAGGTTTGTCTGTTAAACAACTTGCATCAAACGTAATTATTTCTATGACTGTGCTCCAAGGGGTGCTGAGTTGCTTGCAGAGATGAAGTGAACAGTTAATACGTGACGACTGTATGTAGTGCTGACAGTTAATGCTGTCAGCTGCTAAAGGAAGGTGTTGTTGTTGTTGTTGTTATGTGCCGTCGAGTCGGACCCGACTCATAGCGGCCCCTCCTTGGGTTTCCAAGGCAGTATCACTACAGAAGTAGATTGCCCCATCTTCCTTCCGAGGAGTGGCTGGTGGGTTTGAACCGCCAGCCTTCTGGTTAAGAGTCAAGTGCCTTAGGCACTATGCTACCAGAGCTCCTCTAAATGAAGGTAGGAGGTGTAAGTCCACATGGCGGCATCCTGGAATCTGGCAATCTCCTTCTGAAAAATGAGCCATTGGAAACCCTATGGCATACAGCTCCACTCTGACACACATGGGGTCACCATGAAAAGAAACTGATCAATGGTAACTGGTCTGCTTTTAAGTAAGAATTGAGATCTTAGATTAATAAAATTGAAAATGGAGGAAGAAAAATATCAAGGCTAGGTTCCGTTCAGCTTTAAGAATAAGTTGAGCAATTATTAAAAACTTTAAGAAACATAAAACAACACTTAGGAGTGGATCTGTTTGGACAGACCACAACAGTATAGTACTGACAAGAAATGGCATGGCATGAACTCACCATAATGAGTTGTGGTGTAATGAGTTGCATAGTATGGCTTTTCTAGCCATAGTCTCTTTGTAACTCCCACCAGATTACTGGGTGGGACCATGCAAATATTTGTCAACTTGCCTGCGCAGCTGGTGGTAGTTATTCTCTATAATGAGACTGGCAATTAACTCAGTGGTGGATTTTGCCATAAGCAACTGAATAGCTGCTTTTAAACTCCTCATTGATAAAGTCATCCACCTGGAGTATTTCTGTTGGAGCATCAGGAAGTAATCTGGGAAAGTTCACTCTCTCAGGTATATAGAACTCTGATGTTGGGATTGGTTAGTTTTGTCACTCTGCTAGGCTTAAAATGAGCCCTCCTAGAGGCAGAGGGGGAAATCTCAATGCCAGCTGAGAGAGATGGCCAGCTGAGAGAGATGCCCAGCTGAGAGATGGTGGCAGTGAAACCAAGAGGCACGGGACAGAGTGGCAGGCTTATCAGGCTCATAGAGGCAGAGGCCAGGCTGAGAGGCCAAGGGCCAGAGAGGTGTGTCTAAGGGCACAGCAAAGGGGAGATTGTCCTGATTGAAGTACTGTATTCTTAGTGTGTTCCTGAGCTTGAATAAAGCCTGTTCCTTCCCTGATAAACTCTGTAATCTGTGAGTTCTGTGTGGCCACTGCAGTGAATTATTGAACCCAGCAAAGACGTTGTCGGTGCTGTGGGAGGGACAGTTGGTGTCAAGGTTGGTAAGGGAGCTGGAGGGTGGCAGCATGTCTGGCCTCATAGGAACAGGCCTTAGGCTGCTGATGGTGCTTCTGTCTTCCTCTTGTGTAGTTAGAGGAGGTCGAGAGATGCCTCCTCCTTGCCCCTTTAGCATGAGTGTTCAGAGAACTGAGTAAGAAAGGTTTTAAGAGGCCTTTGGTAATTTGTATACCAACCAAACACCTATTTTTCCTGAAAATTCTGGACTAATTTCATCCTCTGGGTTCTATAACATGACAAGCTACATGACAAAATCATAGATCTTATTAAGCACCACAAGGGGTATTATACTTTTCAGATTGTATCACACTTCATCAAGCATATCACTTGTGGTTGATGTGACAAAGTGCCAAAAGAAGCATGTGCCTTGGAAGCCCAAGTGGCTGCTACACTTGCCTGTTGTGGCAATAATGACGACTGTAAGGACTTTAAGGAGCTCTGGGGGTGTAGCACCTAAGGCATTTGACTGCTAACCAGAAGGCTGGCGGTTCAAACCCACCAGCTACTCTGCAGAAGGAAGACTGGGCAATCTACTTCTGTAAAGATTTACTGCCTCGGAAACCCAAACGGGGTCGCTATGAGTCAGAATGGATTCAATGGCAGTGAGTTTGGTTTGCTTTGGTTATAAGGACTCTGGTGTGGGCTAGATTCTTTTGAATTCACTTCAGTACTTACAAAAAGAAAATGACAAGTTTAGGCTGTTAACTGCCAGCTCTAGTCACTGTTTGAGAATCAGAGAGCTTCCATGAAAGCTCTGAAAGCAGCTCTTATCGTCTGCAGCCACAGGGCTGACATCACTGAAACACAAACAAAAATTTAATTGTGTGGCTTTCTAAATTACAAAAGTTGAATTCAGTCTTGAGAAAATTCAGTTTCTTATTTGAATGTTAGGAAATTGACTGGTAAAGAATGAGATTCTGAAACTTATCATGGGGACTTCTGGTTGGACCCAAATGAAATTCATCATCTTAAACCCCCAAGTCATTCTGTCTCCCACTCTGAGCCTCCCTGACAGTGGAAGCAGCTTGTTCTCTTTTGTCTGAGGAGACTAGCCTTCCTCAGCTTGAAAACCCTATAATAACTCACTTGGGACAGATACCTTGGCAAGGGATACCCATTCTCAAGATCTACTACAACCTCCTCTGTTGCCACAGGACTCAAAACTGGGGCCAAGTCTCAGCATGTTCAGGGGACAGCAATACCTAGACGGAGATGACTTATACACTAAGTGAATCAACACAATTTTGCTAATATGTATCTGAAGAAATCTGGGAACGTGTGGGAGTGGAGTCTAAGGATATTGGACTAAGGGAGGGTGGAATGTACAACAGATTGAGCCAAATCAGTGATATGGGTGTACTTCCTAGAGATTTTCAATTAAGTGGCTCTAACAGCTCAATTGGTTTTTTGACTGAAACTTGGATTTAATGGTGGCTTACAGTCAATAAGGTTGAGCTGTCAAAGTGCCCTTGTCATCACGTACATAAGGAAAAAGTGTTAGAGAGACTTACCACCAAAGACAAGGGGGGTATGTCTACTGAAAAGTAGCAGGGGCGGTAGACAATGAGAACGCCAGAGATCTTTGGTGGTGACTAATTTATCACACAAAGCAGGAATAGATGGGCAGACTACTAGAGTATCGCTTGATCTATACAACAGGAAAATCTTCAAGTCTGGTGGCCAAACACCTGATTCAAGTAGTCACAGTGGAGAGTCACGGCCTCTCATTCTGTTTCCAGACTGAGTCAATTCAGACTGAGAACCCCTTGCTTGAAGGGGAGGCCAACTTCTCTAGGGGAAGAACCCTATAACGTTACCACAAGTATACACTGTGTGGGTATATACACTGTAAACCTTCCTTAAGACCTCCCCCAAAGGGACCTGCAGCCATTTACTGTGGCTGTGATTTA